ATATATATATATATTTTATATATATAATATACATAAAATATTTTATATACATAATATACATAATAGAAAAAGACGTGAAGGATTATAGAATCAATCTTTCCATAACGTGATACTGATTGCTTAGAAATGTGAAACTGAAATTCGTTGTGCTTTTCACAAGAGTAACTTATAAAAAATATTTATAAAAAAAATACGTATTAAAATGTTTACTGTCCCTTAAATAAAATAAGTTTATTGTAGAAAGTTCGTTGACTATTTGCTTTTTCTTTATCAATAGTATTTAAAGTGATGTAATGCAATTTAATATCGTTTTCGATTGGGGTGCACTAGCTGCACTCAGTGTCAAGAACGTGTTCGATTGGCAATGGCTGTGTTCAGCAGACTCAACAGTTTTGCAACCGTTTTATGATTGTCTGCTGAGATAGGACCATTCTTCTAGATCTAAAAGTATGATCCAATCAGCGCGAAGGAAACTTCCAACAGTTGCAAAATAAACGTTCTGCTGAACGCAGCCACTGTCAATGCGCACTTAGCTAGTGTCACGTGTTCATTTGACCGCACGACACTCGCGTAGTGCGCACTCAGTGCGCACTAAGTGGCACAAGATGTTTTGACGGTGCTAGTCCAATGCACTAGATACATATATAGGATATCAGTGCATCATTTTGTCACATGAAAGGATATATAGTAGGGACAAGCAAATCTGTAATTTATAGCATGCAAATGTGTACAATTATTGATAAGTATGTACATATATGATATTCTTGATATCTTATATATTATTTAATTACATATAGTAAAAAATCATTACTTAAAGTTATGAACATGAGATGTTGAGGTTATTTTTCTGCGTTTTTCCTGCAGTCTAGTCAAGTCCTTCCAATCTTATAACTCGAAATGGCACTTCAGCTTTAGCACTGAAAATCTTGGCGTGTTCTTTTGAATTTGCACTATTCAATGCAACCCATGGAACTCGTCCAGTGTTAATGTGAACTGAGTACGCACTGGTGCGCACTAACTTTTTCCCAATCGAAAACGCTATAGTTTGACATATTTTTGTATTATTGTTCGAATTAAGTGAATAATATGATTTTCCATGATTGAATGGTCGTGTTCTATTAGATTCTTAAAAACATCAGTTCCTATAAAGTTTGTTAAAATTCTATTTGTTAAATAGTGACCATTATATTTCTTTTTTTATAAATGTGTTGCTATTGTAAAGAGCACAACGAATTTCGGTTTCATATTTACGAGCAATTAATATCACATCATGGGAAGGTTGGATTAATCCTCCACGATTTTTTCTATTTATTAAATTGTAACGATGCACCCGCAAAAGCATCGTTCCCGATCGGTCTCCCATCGGATG